ATATAATATACATGTATATTATATATTTGCCGGGGCAGACTACATAGCTGCACGTGGAGGTTGTCACGAAGTCAGATGTTGTCTCTTCTTGGATATAGCTTCTCTGGAATATGCACCGCTTACTATCCATTTCTCACTTGGTGCGCTACTTGTTGGTTCAGACACTCCATATCATCGATGAGCAGCGATTGCTTGTCAACCACGTATTGGGGGAGATTTTTGATGCAGAGATGGCTGGGTTCTTAGATGACGGCGTATTCGGTCACCCAGGGACTTTGCTTGAACGTGCGAAAGCCAAGCTACTAAGCTTCCCTCCCATCACCAAGAATAAGGCGCAGTTTGAGAAGTCACTGGATAAAGTGCTGGCCGAATTGCCGGAGCTCATTCATCGATACTCAAAGTATGCAAACCCTAAACCCCAAAAACGCTAAAACACACGCGTTACACGGGTGGGGTGTGCGCAAAAGTATGTCCTCCGACTAGAGTTGAGTTGATGTATGCGTGCTATGTAACTAGTCGCCAAGGCGTAGAACGTTTCGTATTATGTGTGTGTGCATGTATAGTATCACGCTTTGTGTGACGGGTGTGTGTAGAGCCACACGCTGTGTAGCTTGAGTGCACAAAGAAACGTGACATGACAGTGGCGGGCGTATTGTGCGCTATAGGTGAGATAACTATCCATGGGTTGGTGCCAGTGTGAGGTGGTAGTGCTATATATATCGTTCAGCTGTAGTTTGGGATAGCTTGCTATGTAGTGTATATAGTCCTGGGGGTATTCGCTTGAGGAACTGATACTCGCATCAGTTGTCGTGGTGGCCTGGATATACGCATGTATTGAGTAACCTGCGGTTATATGTGGGGGCTATAGTTAGAATTGAATCTGGGGCCCTGGGAAGTACGCAGAGTGACGGGGGAAACAATACAACAGATATGTGGTCTATTTTAACATGTGAGTGGTTTATATCAACACGTGAGGGGTTTATACCAACAGGGATGTGGTTTATATTAGACGTAGTTTATATTAACAGGTGAGTGGTGTATCGTATCATATTTCTTTACAAACAGAGCCACAGGTAAAGACTGGACCAAAAAGCTCAAGAAGGTCGTCTGTGGCAACCTGACACTCGCATTGGTGCAGGACAACGCCACCGAAGTACCCGCAGCTCTGATGCAGAACGACGACGAAGCCGTGGCCCAGGCACAGGATGAGCATAACTACTTCCAGACTAAGCTGCTTGCGCTGTTTGGGCTGTTTCTGTCGGGTGTGGAGGCTGACGGTGGCATCGATGTGCTGATGTACGGTGCCTGTGCGTGCCTGTCTGTGTGTATTTGAGTCACGCGGGTTGTGTGTGTTGTAGGGGTGGGGTGTGCGTGTGTGTCTGTGTAAATTTGAA